TACTATATTCTTATATAAATAACTTAAAATAGAATATATAGCAAAGGGGTGTGGCAACATAGAGTAGTGGTTAAGTTGTCACCCCCAAGCGGCAGGTCTAGAGTTTGATTTCCACCGGAGACGTTTTTCAAAAAATAGGCCTGTGTTCCAGTAACATCTATTTGACGATCGGTTGAGTACATTACCTGTAATCTTGGTACTACCATCTCATTATAAAAGCTTTAGGCCGATCCAAATCCAAGGAACCAGAATATTTGAAACCTGTTTGGCAAGACCCGAGCTAGAAGTAGTGAAAATCTTTGACGATATTACGGAAAATTAAAACCGGAGACCGAAAAACCAGATGAACAACTCTGGGGCAAGAAGGGTTCACCAACCTGGCCGCCAGAGTCGTACCGAAGAAAAAGGTCCGATGCTATGAAATTTGGAACCAAGGGAAGTAGAACCAGAAGGCACTTAGAGCCTAGATACAACAACCCTTCCAGGCTAACTGGTTTGGTAATTGGGGAGAGATCAGTATAAGGACCGGTTGAAAGTGGATATCAAGATCAGAATAAACCTTGTAAAAGCAAGGAGTAGGTAATAGTAGCAGCCACAAAAGCCGCAAGTACCAGTTCTCGAATTAGACATAAGTTACTGAAAAACCCAGGTGATACATGTGTGGGACATGGACTGCTCTGGTAGATTTACTACAAGGATAAAGTAGTTCTAAGGGGCTTTAGTGGCAAGAATTCTTTCGAGAAAAACATCTGACAGCACTAAGTTGATCAGAGGGTTTAAATAGGGGATCCACAAGTGGATCCTAGGTATGGCAATTGGTAGGTAACTATAGATAGTATAGCAGAGCCTTTAATTAAACAATGACTAAAGTTGTATGTGTGACCAATTGTACTCTTGTTGATATAACAAAGTCAAGGGTGTCTATTCGGCATCCCGATAATTGAACTGAGAAGTTAATAAACTGTGCCAAACCTCCAAGTGGTCACCTTAATATTTAAAAAAAAAAAATATATATATATATAGCAGAGGTGTAGTAATATAGTGAAGTAGTCAAATTGTTATCTCCAAATAGCAGATCAAAAGTTTGAATTCTACTAGCAATAAAAATTTAAAAATTCTGCTTGTATTATAGCTAACTATATTCAGTCAATTAGTTAAAATAAAATATCTATAACTATAGTCATACTAGCAAGACTAGAAAGTCTAGAATATTTATACAATATATAAGTTATAGAAAGATATGCAAGCCAGTATTAGTTGATACAAATCTACAATAAGTACTTTGCTATATAAATTTGAAAAACTGCAAATATAGAAGACCACTTAGCAAATTCCAAGTAGAGAGTAGTATAAATCTTTGATGAGCTACTATAAAAATTAGATTCAAGAAACAGAATTTATATAAACTGAACTAGACAAGATATAGGATATTGAGGTATATCTATACTAACCAAGCTGCTGCAAATAGTAAAAAGACTAAAAATCTAGCTTGGGAGTCTCTGCAATTGCAAGCATATTGTAGTGATGGTAAAAAATCTACTAGCCACTCTTCAGGATATCTTTCTAAATATAGAAAAAAAGTATATAGTTATCAAGCTATCTAGCTTGAAAGTCTAATAACAGAGTTGAGACCTCTGCTATTAAACAAATAGATAAATTGCTAATTCTAACTAGGTTACTATCAAATTGAAAAAAAATAAGTAATACATACTGGGCTATTTGGATTAAAAGTCTGAATAAAGAGAAATAAGTTCTGGGTTTGGGTGAATTCTATAAATGCAAAAGCAGATTTGGATAGCAAAGTTTGGCCAAATGGTATTAAAACATAGTTGAAAGCAAGAGAAAGTTCAAAACTAAAGAAAAACTATAGGCAAAGATCTCAACCTAGTACTACATACTCTTGGAATAGATAAAACTAAGCTATAAGTAGTGGGTCTTAGTCTATATATACCAAACTGAAGCACAGACTAAATACGGTATATATAAAATAGAAATATTGTGAGCTCTGCTAGGTTTATCTTAAGGATAAAGAACTAAAAGTAAATTAATAAAAAATAAAGGTTTATTTTAAAGTTTTAAATAATCATATAAACATATATCAGAAAGTCCAGTTCATAAAACTAGAAGAATAGTTGCTAATTGATATAGGTCTTAAAATATATAGATACAAAAGATTTATTTAAGTAATTCTCTAGTCAGATTGCAGGTATAGCAACTAGTGTAAAATCTAGTAATAGACAAGACTACTTAAATAGATGCTCAAAAAGTATAGGTATAACTAGATATACCCTCCAAATATGTATAATGACTGTTCTAATACAATAAAGTATACTTGACCAAAAAGTCACTTTAATACCAAAATATATATATATATATAGTAAAAAATTAATAATATATTTTTTTATTTTATATAAAAAAAGATTTTATATTTTTTATCTTTGTTTTTTTTTTATTTTTGTTTTATTTTTATTTACTATATTATACTACTATATTACTTATTATTACTTATATTATTATTTTTTTTATAAATCAGCTATTCTGCTTTTATTTTATTTGAGACTAAATCATTTAAAAAATTTTTACAAATTTCTATTTATGATTATATAGTTTAATCAAAACAAAGGCTTGCCAACACTATGCCAAGCATAAGTACCAATACAATCTGCCTCAGTAGTATTCAACCTTCTTTGAGATCTTTAATTTACTAAAGACTTTTTTCTCCTTAGTCACTAGCTAGCAGATATATGCTTATTAAGAAGCAAAAAAACAAAAAAAAAAAAAAACAATGAACACTAAAAACAAAAAACAAATATAGAGGTATAAAAGAATATGATAAAATATACAAACAAGAAAAAAAAGGAGTAAAGAAAAATAAGAATAAAACAAAAAAAAAATTTTATCTATTCTGATACCACAATTATAAGCTTGTATCAGGCTTGTAAAAATTATATACTACTAGATAAACTAGTCTCTACTCTAAATCTAACTAATTAGTATATCTAAGTAAAGTCCTATAGAAAAAACTTTATTGACTTAAATCTGAAATACTTCTTTTCTGCTATACAAAATTAAACAGAAGATTTTCTTTATAATCAACTAGTCATCATTAGAAGTTATTTCTTCAAGTTTGTTGCATAAAGCTTTCATTCCTAACAGATAATATCCAAATTGTAGAAAGGTCAGCAATGTGTCTCAGAACATTGTTTGTACAGATTGTTAGATATTTAAGATACATATATTTATATGTTTGTTGTCACAAATCTAATTTATCTGATTTGGAAGATAAACAATATTGACTAATTTGGTATATGTGATATTGATCTTTTGGAGAGATAAACTGAGATATTCACTTTTTACAAAAATTTTTTTGACAAAAAGTGGTGGGCCAACAGATATATATAAGGTTCTTCTTATAAGTTTTATAGTTATATAGTTTAGATTCTAAGTTTCTACTAAACTTGGTGAGAGCCTAACTACTTTCTGTTCTTAGAATAAACCGTCTGGTTTAAATATTGAATATCTTAAGAAATCTGCCAAAAAAAAACTTGATTCTAAGAAAAACTACCAGAAAATGCTTGCTTTTTGGTATATTATGTTTAACTTAGGCTTAATTGACAATAGTCTACTTAATATAGAACCAAGAGTAGTATCTTCTTAGTTACTTTTCTATATATTTTTGCTGTAGTTCAGGTTTATTGTTATTGGCCAAGAGATCGTCAGAAAGAGTTGAATATTTTTTTTGATTACTTATATTATTATATTATAGATAAAGTTAACTAGCACGCATGTGATATTGTCACATGTAAGTAGTAATACAAAATTAAAATATGTTACTATTAATGTGAACAATAAAATATCGTCATCGTATTAGACATTTATATAGAACATATGCATGATGTACGTAATTATGCTTTTTTTCTTACTGTTAGCATTAAAGGTTAAAACAAACAATATCGCAGTGTTTGGGGTAATTAAAAGCACTAGTCTCACTGATAACCTTTTTTTTTTTTTACTGTACAGCTTTTGTTCTTTAAAAGAGGTTAACCTTATCGTAACGCATCTTCTTTTTCATTATTTGTGCATTCTCATCTCGCTTTTCATTCTCTCATCTCACTTTTCGTTCTCATATCTTGTTCTTCGTTCTCTCATCTTGTTTTTTGCGCCTTCAAGCACTCTTATCTCGCTTTTTCTTGTTTTGCTTTTCGCACTTGTGCTCTTGCATTTCACATTTTGCACTTTCTCTCACCCTTTTTTTTTTTTTTTTAATATATATATGTAATATATATATATATATATATATATATATTTATAACAGATTAGTACCATGGTAGCTAAAAGCTTTTGAAAGTTAAATAAGCAACTTTTTTCTTGTGAACAGAACTTTTTCGGTACCCTTTAACTTAATTTTATTTTTTTTCCAACTGTACAACAAAATCGTTCATTATTCTGGTACCCACTCTTTTTTTCAATAGCACGAAGACCCTTGGCTAGTATAGAAAACATTTCACCGTTAATACATGAAAGTTCATATTGTGGAATTAAAAACATTAAATATGGTGGAATTGAAAGCAATAATGATTTAAGATTTAAAAAGGATATAGAAGATGAACTTGGTTTCGAACGTGAAAAGGATACTGAAGATAGACCTGCAATTGAACGTGAAAAGGATACTAAAGATGGACCTAGTATTGAACCTGAAGATGGACCTGGTATTGAACTTGAAGAGGACATTGATATTATTAGCGAATCAGATGATACCTCTAAAAATACAGATAATTATCAACATGAGCATCTATCTCCAATCTGCATTGAGATCTACCATGAAAAAACCTTTGGAACTTGGAAAGAATGTCAGGAGATATTAGAACATTACGCACATCAAAATAACTTTGCGATCAGAAAAAAATGAGTAGATAATAGCCATGATCCATGACAGCATACCTGGGACTGTAAACGGTCTGATAAATATATCTTACATAAAACTGCTCCACCCGAAAAGCAAAGAAATAAGGGTTCAAAAAGGATTGGTTGTCTTTTCTAGTGAATGCGTACAAGAGTAAGGGCCCTGATAATGAAACTATAATTAAATTGACATTGATGCATCCTGAACACAACCATCAGTTGATTTCTGAAAATGCTAGCTTTGCTACTAGCTATCAGAAACTTACCACAGATATGAAGGAGCTTATTGAAAGTTATATAATTTGTAATATTGATGTCTCATCCCAGGTTCGGTTACTCTGTAGGTTATTTTCTGATGCCACAATTGTGGACTATGATGTGAAAAACTACATGTATAAGGTTCGTCGTACTTATGATATACAGGGGTGTGATATCGCAAAGCTTTTCCAACACTTTGAAAAAGAACGTACCAAGAATCCTGATTGGTATATTCAATCATTAATTGATCCAGAAACAAATAGATTACAAGATGTATTCTATATGACCCCTGAACAATGAAAACTTTGGTGACGTTATGCAGATATTATTTTAAATGATAATACAGCAGCAACCAACATCTATAAACTGCCATTAAGCATTTTTGCTGTTGTAGATAATAATTTTAAATCATAAATTGTTGTACAGGCAATATTGCCCAATGAAACAAGTGAAAGTTATAGATGGGTTCTATAGCAAACAATTGAAGCTACAGGAGTTCAGCCCAGAGCTTTTATGATTGATGCAGATCTAGGCCTTAAAAGTGTTGTTCCCAAAATATACCCTGATACCTACCTTCTTTATTGTGTTTAACACATTGGGTGTAATATTAAAAAGCAGCTTGCAAAGCTTCTTGGTAATTGTTATGCAGACTTTATCAAAGCATTTTATCATACCCGAACGTTTTATGTAAAGAAACATTTGAGGAATACTGGAAACAACTTATGATTGATTTTCCAGAATCAACTGAATATCTACTTAGACAGCTTGATTCACGTAAAACAACCTGAGCAAAAGCATTTACAGGTCAGGTTTTTATAGCAGGGATAACATCTACCCAACGATCTGAATCAATAAATAGTGTAATCAAACAGACTGTAAATGAAAGAACTCAACTTCATGTCCTGTTTAACCGAATTAAATCACGCGTTGCAGAAGAACAATTTGCTGGTCGGTTTGCAGCTTGGTGTGAAAAGACAGTATCATATATGATACCAAGTATTCCTGGATGACTTTTTTCCAATATATATAATATTCTGCAGAAGTATGTGATGCCTAAAATTTTACAGTTACATACTGATTAAATGAATAAGGCAGTAATGTATTGTAGCAAAAGGGTTAGTTTTGAGGATCCATATAATTTAACATTAGAGGTTGTTGATAATGGGCCGATTGAATTTGAGTATGATTTCTGTCAGATACGGTTTGACAAACTTCTTGAAGGGGTTGATTATTCCTTAGTTGCTGAAGTTTGGGATGTTTAATTAATCGAACATAATTCACATGTTGGACAGAATGTAGTGCTATTAAAAAATGGATTTCATTTATGCACATGCATTTTATTATTTGATAGTGGAGTAGTTTGCCGTCATTGGTTTTGTGTTCTTTTACAGTCTGAAAAGGCCTATTTTCATATTTCTCTTATTCCAAGATGTTGGTACAAAGATGAATTTATGGACATGGTGGTTGCTGATGAGCTATTTGTTAGAAACAAATCATTAGAAAAGAACAGTTCAATACCATCCTTACTTTCTTTTCCAGATGTTGCTAATTCATAGAATACCATGCTTATTGAACCTCCTGTACAAACTGCAGCAAAAGTGATTGGCCGCAAACAATCAATTAAA